TTCAATATATTTACTGAAGTACTTCAATATGACTTTTATAACAACCCTTACTTCATCATAAATTTATTAGAAAATATTTTATTTTGCAGCTTGAGATATTCAAGTCTACATATATAGCATGCATAATCATTGCCAACTTAGTTTCGAATTACCATTTTTTAAGCTTTTTTGTTTTTGCTTAACTTTTCATAATTTCCCAGAAGTAAAGACGTAAAGCTTTAAGATAACAATCAACATTTGAAAGTACAAAAAGAAAGAGAGAAAACGTTTTAAAAGTTCTTCGGCCGTTTTACTTCAAGGTGGTAGCACTTTAACCTATGAATAGAATAATAACCAGGATTAGGCTAAGTTTAAAGTTAAAATTCCGCCAGTGCATTGCGGCACTCACATGAAACACATATGGATTCATCGAAATCACAAAAGAAAGGAAGACAAAGTTATGGAGATGTGCTGCTTGCAAAAAAGCTTGCCGGGTTAGTTCACCACGGAAAAATATAATGGAGATCTTGATATACATGATAGTTAAGCTAGATACCTCGAGCAAGAGTCCTGATCTGAATAAACGATGGCGACTCGCCTCTCTGGTACGCATATCCAATCACCATGAAGTAGTACATGGTGTCTGGCTCAAGGTTATCAATGACGCATGAAGATCCRTAGCAAGCTYTCTTCRTATTYAACCTRTCTTTCTGTTTTCCGTAATCTACTTGGACTCTGKTGGAAGGCATTGAGCGCTTTGGCTTTTCAAACCTGAGACGAATTTCCCTTRAACTGATGCCTTCGCCAGAGACTTTGATAGGAAGTGAAGGAGCTGATGGTAATAATGGCATATTTTTAATTAGAAATGAACTACAGAAAGCAAAGCGTAATAACGCAGCCGTTTTCAAARGCCTTTTTATTGTTTGACTAACAACCTTTACTTACTCTTGACTTCGTWACACTGTCCTCTTTTCCASTGAGGATACTCTCCTTTACTCGTAAAGGCAGACATCTTTACACAATACTCGGTGTACGACTGCAGTCCAGTAACTGTGGTGCTGGTCAAATCCGCGGTGGATGTTGTTGTTGTATTCCATGYATCATCTGTGTATAGTTTTCTGTAGTAGATTTTATAACCCACGATGATACCGTTTCGTTTTTCTTTGGGTATCGGGGACCACCTCACCAACATCTCATCATATCGTTCTGGAGAGATGGCGTTTATGACTGGTGCAGCATCTGGTACTGCAGAAGGAAAAAAATGACCAAAAAAGACACATAGGTAAGATATTCATCTTAAATTAATATACCCTGAATAAAACTTACCATCTTCGCCTGTTTTTGCCATAGTTTCTACCATTTTTTCCCCATAAGCATTCACTACAGACACAGCAACACGATAATCTGTGAACTTTTTCAAGTAGTTCAAAGTCTTGGTTGTTACTGTTTTAGGCACTTGTTCCCATCTATATTTGTACTTCGGCTGAGCATACTGAAAATCGAATGGGACAGAAAACAGCATTAAGCCCAGTTAAAAACGACGAACGAGTATAGGACATGTCTGTTTTCAAGAAACTGTCATTTAACATATGTTGGACCGTTTTTCAGATTTAACGTTATGCGAAGTTATATCTCAATATAAAATAAAATCTTTTGAGAATTTCGATTTCTAATCGTTTGGATGACGATAAAAAAGACGTGATTGCCCGCCAGCTACAAAAAAACCATTATAAGCTTCCTATCCATGCACATACCTTGACATAATAGTAGGATATGMGGTTATCTGATGGACCGAGCCAATTCACTTCAAGTTTTGTTGATCCTATGGCTTTCACTGTAACGTTACGTGGGGGACCTACAAAGGAAACAAAACTTCGTTCATAGAACGAAAGCAATTGAAATAAGATATGACAAAGGTTTACTTACAGACGAAACCAGGACATTTTTCGCACCATTCTCCTCGAAATCTGTTTACGCATTTACACATATATTCCCCAGAACCCCTTGGGTGTTTAGGGTGGGGTACACATTTACCRCCGTTGAAACACGGGCACTGTACTATACGTAGTGTCATCTCTATCGTGTCAAATGTGTCGCATTCGTCAGTAAGTTTGATGGTAAACGATGAATTTGAKGTGACCTTCCATCTCAGTAGACCAGACGAGCTTAGGGTGTGACCAGTAGCTGTAGAACTGAGTAGAGAGTACGTGATGTTCATCTTTTCCGGGTCGTCTGCTTTCAGTTGTATGGAGAGATCYTCTCCTTGCAATGCATTTATGCTTGTTTGGGAAGTGAATTTGGGTGGTTTGTTGTCTGTTAAAGGTTAAAAAAAAGATGTTATCGATTTAGCTGCCATATTGGAAATATGTCCTCATAATGCAAGGCTAATTCGACCCAGTTTTTCCTTAACCTCGGAATGGCTAATTGTAATGYATGTAGAAACACATTAGCCATCCCGGATGGGCTTTTATGACTATCATTGGAATATATCGCTGAAAACTCAAGCTTTATCCTAAAATTAAAACTTACCTTCATGGATTGGAACGATGTAGAAAAATTGCGAACAACGTTTTCATAAATGCTAGCCATACCACATTCGTCATTTAATACATTGTCTTTYCCGTAAATAATGAAAGTTAATCAAGCGGTCTCTGGCTTTAGGATTTTAAGACGGAATATATTTAACTTACTTCTAATCCCTTTGCACAGTTCACAATGTTCTCCAGAGAATTTCTCCTTGCATTTACACTGATACAGACCAGATCCCCGTGGATGGTAGGGGTGGGGTACACATTGGCCACCATTCAGACACGGACATTGTACTATACGCACTAACATGTCTGTTGTATCAAACGCTCCACACTCGTCAGTCACTTTGACGTTGAACTTCTCATTCGATGTGACCTTCCATCTCAGTAGACCAGCTGTACTGAATGTGTGGCCAGTAGCTGTAGAACTGAGTAGAGAGTATGTTACAGGACGGTTATCAGGGTCTGTTGCTCTCAGCTGCAGCACGAGATATTCTTCTTGAACCGCAAACATAGTTGTCTTGGTGGTGAACTTCGGTGCTTGGTTATCTTAAAAACATATTACTGTGAAAAGGAATGTTGTGATGTAATGTTTCACTTTACGGTTAGCTTTGTTAAAGTTTTTGAAGCTAAAATTTTATGATAAAAGTAGGAGATATAAAAATCCGTTAAAATCTACTAAAGACCTGCAACAATAAACAGACGGCGTTTCGACGCTAATTCAATTACTGTCTTTGTTAAATCAAGGAAGTAACTAGATATTTGGGTGTGTCTTTTGATATTATTGTTAAGTAAAGCTAAATTCAGATTACTTTTTCTACGCGTCCAGGAATTCTGGTCATCTTTGGGTAAGCACTGCTGGCACCAGTCACGTGGGTTGGGCTCGTTGGCAGCAAAACAATGTCCTCTGATCAGACAGGAATTCGGCTGAAAGGGGAAAAAAGTTAATATAAATGGTTCATATACGGTGCAAAATATCACAAGTACATATGTGTACTCACTTTAAGTTCACATTTGCTTGAATTGCTACAGTTCATACACTTGGAATCAAAGGACACGTGTCTTAGTTTTTGTAGACTTGCATTGAAGCCATCGTTAGAAACTGAGATCAAAAGTCCTCCAGCAGGGGTCCCCTCGTGATCATAATCACCAAGTCTCGTCGGTGGATCAGGCAGGTCGCACTTGAGACCAAAAATATCAATCATCGTACCGTTTAATTTCTTAGGAATTCCACGAGGCGACCAGAATTCAGTCGGGTAAACCTTTAAAGAAATAAATTATAATATTTTCAATAAAGTCAAAAAATCTGTATGGATTTTTAAAGCATTTTCTACTGAATAAAAATACCTTGAATTCTTTTACGTGACACGTGAGATTATTAGAGTTAATGAAGTTATCTCCCAGCAGATTCGTCTTTTTACATGGACGCTCGCGTATATCACAGAGTCCACCATTGTAGATACTAAAAACATAAAAACAAGTACTCGTTTTTAAAATGAAATAATGGGTCATTTTCCTAATAAGTCATAGCTTATTTTCGTTTTGCCAATTTGTTTATGTGCCGTTCAAATTCATTATTTTCACTCTCTTATTACCAATTCATTATCGCTGAATTAGACAAATCAAATAGGAATATATTTGGAATTTCGGTTATAAAATTAGGCATTGCCTAAAAGCGGAACTCCCAGTACAATCTTCGGTTGTCGGTTACATCTTTTGTTTTAGCTTATTATTTCAAGCTGTTTTAATAGTTTTCACCTGAAACTCGTTAAAATAAGCAACAAGTTGTGTTCTTTATAAAATATCTAGTCTTTTACTCTCTATTGGCTGAGGAAAAAATGGTTCGAATCCGTTAACCTCGGACCAGACATTTCAACTGCGCATGCCTATATCACAGGCTAACTCTTGTTTGGGATACCTTTTACTTACCTTTGGAACAACGGTAATCAATTTTATTCATTTTAAGCACTGAATAATCTAGTTGAATTATTTATCCTTTGCCTGCTTAAATTTTACTTATTAAATTTATCCTCTGTGAAATTCGTTGTGCTATTTTGTGAGTTTTTAACATGTGTTTTGAGGTTCAAATATCTCCACAAATGCTAGAGCGATATGCCGCCAACTCGCAAAAATTGCCCTTAAATTTAAGTCTCCTACTCATCTACTTTGGGTAAACAGAAGATCTTTTATCGTACCATATTCTAGCAAATTTTAAATTCGATCCCAGCCAACTGAGTTCTTGAAAAATCCATTTATTTCCTAATATTTTCTGTATATTTTTGTGTCAGTTAGCCATTTTATTTCCGAAACGACTCTTTCTATTGTTTTCCCCTGACCAATCAGAATGATCAATAAATCGTTCGCTGAAAGAGGGTGGACACTCTTCACAAGTTAAATTCATCTAATCAAAAGCCTTAAATTCCGGCTTATCATCGCATAACAATTTCTACGTTTTGAACGCTATGCCTTGGTATGTTTTGCCGGAATTTTAGTGATGCAAAATTATAATTTTTTACCTTACAGACCAAGATACCAGATTTTACGATTATTATTTGTTATGAGGAAACGTTTATTAGCTGTGTAAAAGATATTTCCAAAGATATTTTAACGTATTTCTAAGGCACATGGAATGTCCGTAATATAAAGAAAATTAATTATGCTTGCAATTTTTCTTAGAGATTACTATGTAAATATAAAGAAGAGATAATGGACAAGCATTTAAAGGGGTCGGTCCCCCCCGGGGGGGGGGGGGGATAACTCTTGCCCGTTTAGGGTAGGGATGTGCCGCTGAGCCCTCTGGACCTTTACGCTGTTCCAGTGTAAAATCGCTGAAGTTCATACCCTGTTCCAGAGCAAGATTGCTGAAAATCATACACTGTTCCGTTATTGCAAAAATGGATACCCTGTTCCAGAGAGGAGAGAGCGTAATTTCATATACCCTGTTCCAGAGCGGCTCGGTTTTATATACCTGTTCCAGAGTAGAATCGCTGAAAACCATACCCTGTTTGGCGGCATGTTCCCGTATAGCAAATATAGGGGAGTACCCCCTCCCCCCCTCCCCCGGGTCGGTTCCCCTCAATAGTTTCGGAGATACAGAGCAGTGAAAATGGAGTGTATAAGTTTATGTATAAGTGCATATAAACAAAACAGCGCCAAGTACATTGCGTTATGTGATCTTCTCTTCCTTCGTTTATCTAAATATTCAAAAATACGTCATTTCTGGCTGCTCTTTTTTCTTTAGTTAAGGCTTCAAAGAATATATTGATGTATCTTATCGATGTTAAGCGTAGATATTAAAGTTTTTGGGTTCACGGAAGATATTTAGTTATGTCGCAGCGCTGACCCGTGAGGCAACAGCATGAAGTAAGTAATATACTCTGAGGATCAGCTCAATTTGATAGCATGAAGTAACATAACTTTACAAAACACAGCTCAGACGATCTCGAGTACAATTCGGAATTTATAGGTACGAGTAATGTTTTGAAACAGTTGAAGGTTTTCAAAATTGGACGAGTTCAATTTGAGAACTTTTAAAACATCACGAGTATCTATAAATTGTCCAATCAGAATCGAGTAATTTTATAGAGTGTATTATAAAAACAATAATAAAATTTAAGAATAATTCTTGAATTTCAAATGAAGACTACTCTCTCTAGTCGTAAAATTGTAGATATTTTTTGAGCGCGGTACCTCCGGGAAGAGCTCCTATTTTGAAGACCTTTTGCATTCTTGTCATAACGCAGGCTTTGGTTTGGGGTGATCGCCAACTGGCTAATCGCTGAAGTGGTTTACTTATAAAATCCGATATTTTGGTTTAGATATCAGTTCTGGTTCGAAGGACCAAAGATTGCTTTGGATATTTGTTTATCGAGAAAATGGATTGTGCAGGAAATTTAGCAAAAGTTCCTATAACCCTTGTACGAGGTACCGTGAGACAAGTCTTCTAACTCCAATAAATTTTAGAAGGGTTAAACAGCGAGAACCCTGTGGTGTACACGGACGGACGTAGGACATGACGTATTTCCGTTTCAAAACATGAAAAATCAGCTTGTCGCTCCGCTATCAAAAAAAATTATTACAAGAAATGATTGAATTTTCATATGTAAATTAGTACGAACCCCAACAATTCAGGAACTGCATTAACATCCATGGAACAGTCCAGTGCAGTATAGCCTTCATCACATACGCAGGTTTTGTTCTTACACCTGCCATGTCCACTACAGTCTCCGGGACATACGTTTGCCACTACTTCTCTTGGAGGCACCAAGTCACCAGTTGAAGATTCAGAGTATAGAGACATATTCTTTAGTATAGAATCTTCGCATACATACTGCAATGTATCAAATGCCAAGGCTGCAAATGATACGTCACCTGAAATCTGAATCCAATATGACATACGTTGTACTTTCAACACTTTCAACACTTGCAACACTTTGGGGGACAAAACAATAGGTTCCAATTCTCAGGAAGTTGGAATTGTTTTGTTTTGTCCCCCAGATCGAGCTGCTTTGACGTCACATGCAAGGGGTTTATTGCTTTGTGTATTACAAGCAAATTTCTTCCGTCCACCAGACCTTAATTATGAACGCGTAGGTGTAACAGAAATGAAGAAGAGTTCAATAGACGTTTTGCATCATCACGGGATGGCAGCCACGATTAGGTGGCAGGAACAATACAATCGTTTTACATAAGAAAGAATTCAATTCCCTAGAGCAAAGAGCAATTGTTCTGTCATCCAACCACAGGCAGCCCAAGCTGTATTATGATCGCCGGAACGTGATGGTGCAAAGCCTCTACATTAAAAAAATTCATTAGTTATGAAGTCCCACTTTTTTTACGGTCATTACACGCCGGGATCCGATTTCACAGAAATGGAAGCCTCCGCCGACAAGGACTTAATAAATAAAATTGCGCCAGCTATCTCTCAGTTTCGAACCGGAAAGTCAAGATGCTAGCAAGTAATATGCACTTCAAGAGAATTTGATAAATAACTGAGAGAGAGGTTTTCCCCTTCAAATTCAATTTATCTCTGCAAGCGACAAAAATCGACAAACTAGCGTGCGCGCGTTATATTCACTTGTAGGTGAATATAACAGCATACGACATAAATGACCAAACGATTTATTATATTCATTCGCTTAAAAACACTAATTTTCAATATTACCTCCAAATCGGTTATACATTGTACTAAAGCACTTTCTATGCTTTCAACTTCCAACTCTTTGCATGCCTTGCCTGCTTGTGATTCTTCTATTATTCTCCTGCAATATTTGGTTGCTTCGCCTTTTGACATTTCTACCCTGGGAGATCTCTTGCTTCGTATTCGGTTCATAGCGTGCTGTACTTGTGGATCATCTACAAAGTAGCTGCGATCCACGTAATCAATGATGTCATCACTATACCAGTCACTTTCTACCCACCGTTTTGATGTATCTGAATTGGAGGACATACCGTATTGGAGCATTATTTCGGTAGTTTCTTTATCAAATTTTATGAAGTGATTGGCATTGTCTTTACAGTCGTTGATAATATTTTGCCCTTTTTCCGTAGGGCAATAACAAGACCTTCCTTCTTCCTGTTCATTTTGAATTTCTGGTTTAATTTTCATATCGAAAAGACTTCTGTCCTCAGTGAGTCTGTTGATATCAAATATAACAATAGTTTGCGATCAAACAAAAAAACAAAAACAAAAAACGGAGTAATGAAGGAGTAAGTTATTTATCATATGAGAGAACAACTAATTAGGCAAGTCATAGTTTATGACTAACGCTGCCTGTGCATAATTAGATTAGAAATAGACTAAGCTAACTAAACTTCACACAATAGAATATGAACTAAGAGAAGGAATCCTCCCTATATAGCCTTGTAACCATCATGTTCCATCATTTTCTCTTGCTTCACAGAACTGCAAGACATGTTGCAATAATTCATAATCTTTAAGCTTCAAAATTGTATCTTATATATTATATTGACCTATAATACTGTAAAGATGGAGAGCTCTCGTGAAAATGTAACTAACTTTTGATAAGATTGTTAAGTCAGGATAATAAGGAGGTTTTACGGTAAAAACGTTTTAACGTTTTTGGATGTTAAAACAGGTTTAGGTCAAGTCATTCTAAAGTCAGTTATAGCAGGTGTACTCTGAAAATAGGCAAAGTATAAACACCCAATCGCTTACTTCCAGCTTTCAATGAATTCTTTTGCGTTTTTGTGTGCTTTACCATCGCCTCCCTGACTGAAGTCATCAGTAACGTCGTCATTGAAGTTACCACAGATCCCTGCCACTTTTCCTTTGTCGGTGCCTGGCGCGTTAATGTAAACATTTAAAGTTTCAGTTCGACGTTTTACTTCGATTCGTGTACCCGACTTTAATATAACCTAAGGATGAACAATAATAAAAACATAATCGTCTAGGCGTTTTAGCACTCGGGAGTAAGTTTTTGCAATCCACCTGTTTCTCTAAATAGCAGTAAGAAAAGCTTCAATCAAGTTAGAAATGAAATTTTGGTTGTATTTAGAGAGCTAACTAAACAAATCAAGCAAATAATTTGTTTAAAAGCAGTACATTTGTAATGAAATCCGAGAACGATGTCCGACCTTTTGGTGACCGTAACACGATAAAATACAATTTATACCACATGATGGCTAGAAATAGAGACAAAAAGGTGAATTGAATCAGTTCCAGTAACCCAGTAACTTCAAACTGGTTTTGGAAATTAATCTAAGGAAAAACAAACGAGTTAAAACGAACTACACTACTGGCCGAAATAGAAACACCTCCCCCTGTTTTTTTTCTATCGATAATGACTAAGATGCTAAAGGTGAATAAAAAGTAAGTAAACATTTGGGAAATTGGAAAAGTTCAAAATGGTTGTGTGGTGGTTTCATTTGGCTTAATATGTTTCGTCAACACGGTATCTCATTAAGAAAAAAATAATTCCAAGCTTTCGGGTCTCTGCATGACGCGTCGTCAATGAAAGAATATTTTACAATTCTAGAATTTGCATCTACATTACTTTGGTAAACAAACATAAAATAACGATGACAGAACAACGGTGACAACCAATGTGCGTGAGCACTATGGTGGTGGTGAAAAAAGAGAAAAAGTTATGTGCCACGTGAGATTACTATTTTAGTTTTGTCAATGGCATTTCCAAAATAGCATTTCCAGTAATTAAGGCGCTTAACACTTCCTTAGTCCTTAGTAGGCTTCTTGAAGTACCTCAAAATATGTCGACGACAAACCAGCTATCTTTTTGAGGACATGTATGCCTTTTGACAAACTTCCTGGACTTCGTTTGACAGGTCTTAATATGGTTCGGACGGGCTTTTCAAAGATTCGCACGTCGTTGCATATAGATAACACTATAACATCTTTTCCCTCTCGTACTGCAACACCACAAACGCAGGAACCCCTCCAACCACACATCCATAGACGTATGTGAACCTATGCGAAAAAAAACACTATTTAAAAAATTAAAGCGACATGCTCTAGACCATCAGTTCAATATATTTCGCAACAAAATGGATACTCTTTCGCTGCTTATTATTGGTCAGTCAGTCAGTCATATTAACACATAATGATAAAATATTTTTTAGCAGAGATATAGCAAGCATAATAGATTAAAAGTAAAACTGCTAAGAAATAACTGAATACCTATTCGAACTGAGTAACTACTAATATTATTTAATCATGAAAACGGTTGTCCAAGCGTTGTTTCATTTTTGAATGGTTCCCTTGCAATTGCCTGATCATATCAACAGCAGAATATGTATGTCCCAGATGCTGCATACTAGTCATCCTATCTTGCATTTTCATCCTAAATTTTGATCACTGATCTCCGATCCCATATATCTTAGGCTGTCAATCGAGGTATCAATATTTTGTATTTGTATTTTGTAACTGCATGACTTTTATTATGGCTGCCATGATGGATGGATGTGATAGTATGTTTAGATTCAATTTTATTATATCATCCAACACGGTGCAGTGCCTTTTGTCATTCGCTATTGCTTCAAGCAACATTTGTCAAAGTTTTTTAAATAAAAAAGAAGTGGTCGGTTCTTGGAAAAAATTGTTAAAACTTTACCTCTATTTTTTTGGCTTCATTGATGTGCATTACATAATCTCCTGGCTCGTTGTGAGAAAAATGTCTGAGAAGACAGCACAAATAAATTTTACTGATAAAAGTAAATAAATAGTACACTTAATAATCCATTAAGTTAATGCGCTTGCACTAAACGACAACAACAATAACAACAACAGCAATAACGACAACAACAGCATTAACAACAACAACAGCAGCAACAACACCAGCGACAGCAACAGGAACAACAGCATTAACAACAACAACAATAATAATAATGATAATGATAATAATGATAACAATAACATTGATAGATGTTGCTGAGCTTACTGATGGTCAAATGGTGTAAAGTTTGGGTCAGTAGTAGCCGAACACATTCTTGTTTCTGTGTTATCAACTGAAACCTTGAAGAAAAGAATAGAACGGACATTACTGATTTCAATCGTTTGTTCCGAAATCGAGTTGGCCGGCTGTCAGTAAGAGATTTTTGTCAAAATTGCACAAGGTTGTTTTTTGTTTTGTTTTTGTCTATAATATGCATAAATACTCGCCATATTTGTGCAAGTTATTTTGTAAGCGCAATGCAATCCACGATCGCGACTCCCGAAATCGAAATGTTAATGATTGTTTCATTTCTCTTATTGTTCATTCGAATCATGCAAATGTTTGTCGAACCACGCTATAGAATATAACGTTGACGATTGCACTAATGAATTTACTATTTTCGCTAAATGATTGTCCATAAACGCAATTGTTTGTCAATTGGTGTTATTGAAGTTTCATTAAGTGTAAAAGAAAATACATTCCATCTCCATGAATGTCTGTACGTGCTATCGTTTGTCAGTTGATGCTGTTGAATGTTTGTGCATATTTAAATGAAATATTTGTTTACAATTAGGATTTTTATGTTTCTTCTTGAAATTATTGTTTGACTTGATCGTGATAACTTATCTTGTTACTATGACATTGTGGGATTACATAACAGCACAGGGAACCCGGCTATATTTTTTTGCTTGTTTTAGAAAAGTAACTTTGCTCTTTGTGGGTTTCCTGTGTCTTGATCGTTTCCTATTATTACATAAGCTGTAATCAGATCTATGCTGTACATGTAATCAGATCGGCGCTGTAAACTCATAGGCGATTAAATTCATATCAATAACCGTTGATGTTTTGTTTCTTATGGGTTGCCTGTGGTGTGTAAAGCACTTTCTAGTAAGCAGTCTTCTTTTGAGTGTTTACTAGAGAGAGAGTGCGTTACCAACGGTTATTGATTTGAATTTAATCGGCTATCAGTTTACAGCGCCGATCTGATCACAGCGCAGATCTGATTACAGCTTATGTAATAGGAAACCGATCACAACACAGGAAACCCACAAAGAGCAAAGTTACTTTTTCTAAAAGAAGCAAAAAAATATAGCCGGGTTCCCTGTGATAACAGCAGCATACGAGAATTTATGATGGGGTGTCGCTCATTGTAAGATTGGGAACCCCCCTATTGTAGACATATAAATAGTACGAGCGTGCTTCAGTTTTGAAAAAAGTATTTTGAATCAGGGAGAAACATAAATATCGTTACAAGTATTGAACGTCTATTCCAAGCTAATGAAGTTTATTATGGCGTTAATGAAAGTATGTCCACCTTAAACGTATTATGTACTGTTAAATAAACTCGCAGGAGCTTTTTACCAGGATTTAAAAACACGAGACGTAGCCGAGTGTGTTTAGACCTGATAAAACACGATCTACGAGTTTATTGAACGGCTTTAACTCATGATGTATGTTATCATATTGTACTGAATTCTTTACGAAAATTTTACGAAAAATATTAAATATATTAGATAGCAAAAGGTGTAAAATTTATAAAAAGAAAGATTGCAAGTGTCTTATGGAGGGCTTAAGAAACTATTAAAAACCAATCACGCCCTATTTATATAGTTTGATGTAGGAGTTAAATTTCGATTGTAAAACCTAGATGTAACCTTTATTTAAAACTGGGGAACAGAGCATTGATGTTAACAGGGGAGAGTGGGGCTGAATTCAAAACGCGGGACAGGTTTTCCATCGAAATTCAAACGCTACATCAAAAAATAGAAATAGGGCGTGGTTGGTTTTTTAAACCAGTTAAACGCCCAACCTTTTAAACCTTCATTCAAAAACAAGAAACCCGTAAGACGAGATATTTGAAAACCTCAACCTTGTTCCAAGGGTCCTTTCACGCGGAGGAGAGGACCTAAATATGTTGTGAAACAGGTTTTATGTTTTTGAAGTTGTTTAAAAAATACTCATTTTGAATTATTTAAATGGTGGTAAATTTTGTGCGTGAGCTTAGTAAATAAGAATGCATTAATAAAAAACTAACGAATTGCTAACAAATTGTACTCGAGGACGTGCTTTTCCCCCACTAATACGACTGACTTACTCAGGTATAAACCAAACAAAGACGCGTAGAGTTATTCGCTTTTGTTCCAAATGTGTTCCTCTTCAGTGATATCCACTGATTTTGTACAAAATAGTTACAATCACGCATTACATCGTTAGTTTTGCTTCACGGATATATGGCGTGCACTCTACCTGCATTGATGGCATCCGATATATTCCCGGTATCCATTCTGGAAGCGTAGTTTCGGGTCTGAAATGGAATGCATAGGTGTCCCTTTCCTCTTTTTGATTATCACAAATGCCAATAACCATAATGTTTTTTCCACGAGCAATATCTTGGGAAGTTAACTTGACATTGCACTTATCAACTGCTGCTTGTCGTCTTTTATTTTTGTACTTCTCCGGTATTAACACCATCACTACTACAGAAGCCAACTGCGTATTACGCTTTTTCCTTTCGCTTCCTTCCGTTTCGTTTGTTGAGTATAATTTAAATACATTTTTTGACCAGGTAATGGGAATAGTTGGCCTTAAATTGACGGTTATGTTAACAGCTGTCTTACATTCTGTAACAATTACATGGCGTGGGGTAACCTATGAGAACAATAATTATATTAATCATATCACTGTCTAAGATTGTGTGGAATCGGTAAGGGAATAATTCATTAAATATGGCTCAGTGTTAAGATTCGAATAGAATAGTCTAGTCCACCACCATGTTGTCCTGCATGATGATGTACTATTTATGCGAAAGCTTGGCTAATTAGATTTATAGATATACGTGGGAAAAAACACATTTTTCTCAGAGAAAATTATTGTTTTGCATCTATAAATCTGTCTCGTGTACTTGTGAAGTTAAACTGATTGTAAGTTTATATTTTTCGGACGCTTTTGCCTTTAGTTCATTGACTGGGAAAAAAATATTCTTGATGAACGGCCCGGGACTTTCAATCAAAAAAAAGTTTCTACATACCATTTGCTTAATGAAATCCTTTATCACACGAGGAAATACTTACGTAATTTAATGTATATCTATGTCATAAAGAACACCATCATTTGCTTATTCCAAACGAGTTTTAGATGAATTATATGAAAACAGTTCGAAATAGACCTCGTGGTAAACACCAAAAAACGTTTTTAAACTTCGTGCAAGCTAAAGCAATGAATATTGTACAAAGAACTCCGCATTTAGGCTGTGCCTGGGG